GTTACATCTTCTCGATATTGTTTTGGGGCATTCGCAAAGATCTGATAACTATCTTAAACTAGTTTCCATTTTGGTTCGAAATGCTTACCTATTAATACAAGGTCATCATTTTTGATATAGCGATTTCCTTTCTTACCTTTAAATAATCGTTGTAATTTGTTACCTAGCATAAGATTAATCACCATATTCGTTTTTCCACTATTGGAGCCTCCACATACCAGTAATCTAAATGGGGGGTCAGGTGAAAACTTATTGCCTTTTATTCGTTCTGAAGATTTGCTAGATGTTTCGTCGATGGCATATACAAATATGGGCATTTTTTCTTCTTTCATCCCAATTAAACTAAGTAATACTATTATATCAAAAAATAATAATCCAGTTAGCTCCGTTATAATGATATACCTGACTCACTATTCATATCTGAATACCAACTAATAATATTAAGAGTGGAATTTTTATTTCGCAAGGTTATAATTGCATTCACGCCGATTCTCTCGCATTCCTCAATACAAAGCTTCTGGAGATTGCATAAATTTGCCAATGCGAACATAGATACATCAGTAATATTGCAACCTTCAAGATAAAGCTGTTCAAGTTTTGGGCATGATCACGCTATAACGCAAATAGACTCGTCAGATACAAGATGGCAGTATGCAAAGTTGAGATATTTAAGATTTGGGTTAGATTGCGCAATTTTTTTAACCGATATATCACTAACCTCTACACAATAGTCCAATTCATATTTTTGCATATTCGGGTGTGCTGAAGCAATTACACATATACCTTCATCAGTTATTTTTTGGGAATCGATTAAACTTAGAGTGTGAAGTTCTGAGCACGATTTAGCAATCTGTTTTAATGATGCATCAGTAATAGTGCTCCCCCATAAACCAAGATATTCTAAATATGAGCAGTTTCGTGCAATCTCGATTATAGATGCATCAGTAATATTCCCATTATAATCCAATTTCAGACGACATAAATTAATACATGACTGCGCAACTGCTCTCAATGATATATCAGTTATCTCAGAAGCGCTAAGCCTTAGGTATCGTAGATTCAGACTCGAATGAGCGATTTTACATAAAATTGTATCTTTCATATCCCGGTATTTGGCAAAGCGTTTTACATTTTTTATATTGTATGATACGTTAAGAGATTCCAAATGGTGAATTTGCGTGATTTTACTAATGACCTTATTGGATAAACCACAACATCTTTTGATCTTTAAATGACATAAATTAGGGCAGAATCCAGCGATCTTATATAGCATACCGCTAGAGACCCTACAACTAGAGATATGAAGTTGAAGTAAATATGGAGCATGAGGTTTTTGATCCCCACACATTACCTTTTTGAATTCATCCCATTGTATACACGAATTTTTTAGATCACCAGCAAATTTGGCTCTTTTTCATAATATAGGAGTAGAGCATAAATACCATAACCGGTTAACAAATAAGCTTGGATATAGTGTTCCATCTATACTGAGGTAATAAAATATTTCAGTTAAAAGTTCAGGCAATGCAAGTGGATGGAGTTTATTATATGTCATACTTATGTATCTTTAGATACTAGCTCCGCTATCTTATGAGTTTATTCTTTATTCGGTAAATAGCCCTTTTTTCGTAATGTATATTTGATATAGGAAAATAAATCAGCAGAATAAGGAATTTCAATAAGATCTATACCACGCTCTTTGTATATATCCCGCTTTTTTTGATCGCGTGCTCTTTGTGAATCTAGGTCAGACCTACCATTGGGGTGAAAGTGTTTTGGAACTACACGAAAATGTTGTACCCCTTGATGCTCCCACATCAATTTTAACTCTTCGTTATATCCATCGAGCCTTAATCCATCCAAGAACTTCGGTGCACATGGCGAAAATTTCTTACCTAGTAAATCTTCAAAAATATATCTTGCAGAGCGCTCTCCTCTGGAATGCGGACATAGGGGACACCATTCGAATTTCCGTTCTAAAACTTCTAATGGATACTCAAACTAATGTTTTCCGTTTTCACAGGACCAGAGATATACATCGAAATCATTTATTCGCCCAGTTTTACCAAGACATTTCTCGCTACGCTTCTTTGCATATTCTTTAGTCTTAGCCATTTTATTAATAATACGAACGAAATTAACAGACCTGGAACGAGCATTTTCTTCCAATATACTCTGGAGCGAATACTGAAGCGTATTAATATTCACGCGTAAGAGCTTCTCTCTTACAAATTCACGCTTTGGAGCATATTCATCGCCATCATCTCCGAGGTAATATAAAACTGGTTCGTTTTTCGTTACTACGATTTTACGAATTTTATGTAATGAAGGGCTCCATACTGGATCTGTGCTTCTACGATTCTCTAAACCTGGTGAACCTTCCCACTCTCCGTTGGCTAACAAATAACGGACTGTATCACCCTTCTTTAACCTATTCTCTTCATTTTTTTCAACAGGACGTTTATATTTCGTCGATGGTCTAGATTCTACACGTTCCAACTGAATAGCCAGTTTGGGAGCTAAACCCTACTTTGAAGAACCTGGGGCTCGAATAAGACGCGTCGGATAATTATTTAGGTAATCGATAACTTCTGGTAAATACTTAACCCACTCTCTTATTAATTTAGGGTTTGAAATTATACTTTCGACAGCGTATTGAATCTTGTAAAGCATCTCTGCTAGAGTTTTACAGAATCTATTTACAATTGCGAGTCCCCGATAAGAATACGCACCAATTACTCGAATTGTTACATTATGTTCTTGCATTATTTTTGAAGTTTCGCCCATGAATTCTTTACCACCATCAATGGTTAGCAATTTAGGCCAGGTCAATGGATTTGATGAACTATTATAAATTTTCTTGAACGCTTTAGTAACTTCAGAGCTTTTCTTCGACGTGAGAGGAACTGAAGCCTTATATCTCGACGCACAATCCACTATATTTAGTACTGCTTTGTATATCTTCTGCTTATAACGATCATGGGTAAGAAAGAGTATATCAGCTATGTGCACACTATTCGGACGTGAAATTTTGCCATAACTAACTCGTGAAATGTATTTAGAAGCCGGTGGATATTTTTGCCACTCACTTTGATTTATGAGCCATTTTTTAATTTCGGAGAGCTTAAATTTGTATCCCTTCCTCCGACACGCATCTCTTAATGCTTTTGTATTGAAGAAATATCCAGTAGGTCGATAATATAATTCCCGCAATATAAGATTTTTTTCAATATCACGAGCTTCATTAGGGTTAATATATATGGTAGCTTGGCTCATTTCGATGCATTTTATTATAGCAAAAAATTTTAGCGCTTTCTTGACAAACAATGTGATCAGTGTATACATTATATTTGATAAATAATCTTGTTGTGACCATCAAGAAATTACGTATTCAGATCCAGAAAAATGAGGATTACATTACTTACCTGGAGAAAGAGATAACTACAAGGGATGATGAGATCAATATTCTCCGAATACATATAAATAATCTCAAAATAAGACTCCGGAAAGCAGAGGCGGATGCTCAATCCAATGATAAAAATATATCTGCTTTTGAACTCCAGTTACGAGATATGAGCAGTGAATTATTCTCCCTTCAATATAGAATTCAAAAACTTCGGGAAACAATGACATTGGACATGACACACCTACCATCTACAAATACACCAGTTTTCGACTTAATAACAGATGTGAGAACAAATATTAAGCTCTTAGCTGATTCGACTAGAGGAGACGATACTCTTTTAATAGATGAAATTAATAATCTCCAAACTCAAACTGAATTAGGATTAACGAAAATTCAGAATGGGTGTTATTCTTTTGAAAATGAGGTAACTCAGTTAAGGCAAGAAGTTATAAATCTAAAGGATATAAACCTCAATCAACAGGAGTTAACCAATGAGCTAGGTACATTAAACGAAATACTCAAAGAACAGATAGATGTGCTATCTGAAAAAAATGAGACCATCCAAATCGAATTAGACGAGAAAGCGAGGTTATATGGGCAAGCTCAAAACCGGCTGGATGAATGCCGAGAGGAATGCTACCAAATAAGAGAATCTTTGGAAGGGGCTCATGAAGATATTACAGAAGGTGAGTTCGCATATGATGAGTTAAAGCAGAAATTACGCATCTTAGGATTAACTCATATTGCATGGCGAGCTCGTAATTTAAGACAGGTTCAAATCTTAAACGTGGAATTTAATACAGCGAAGATCGCTTGGAGGAATCAAAAAGATAGAAATCGGCATATTACTCAAGAATTGCAAAATTGTCAGAAACATGCAGAAATTTACAAAATGATAAGGTTCTTATTGAATTTTGGCAAGATCAACTTATAGTGAGGTATGAGAAGTGGAAAAATAAGATCAAAAATGGATGCCAAATAATTAATAATTTGAATCAGCAAATATTTGTGCTACAGAATAATTTACCTATAAATATACAAGTAAACATGGCATTGCAACCATTACCATTACCAAATTTTTCAGGTGAGTATAATGAAGATATTGATATTTTTATTAGTCAATTATCATCATATTTTGCTGGTGTTGCTATAGATCCGATCGCTAATCGAGACCAAGCATTTGGTATTCTTAGAGGATGCTTATCTGAATGGGCATTAGAATGGTTTGATAGAAAAATTCTTGGTAAACATTGGGAAATTCATAATATTCTTGCAAATCATGGTCAGGCC